GGGGCACAGGGCAACAGAGAACTCCACAGCTGCATCTGGGCCCACAGCTGGAGGGCAGGAAGGCCAGAGGAAGGTGGGAGCCATTCCTGGTGTTTGGCCAGACAAGGGGCCCAGCTCATTCCTGGCCTCGGGCCAGGCCAACCACACAAACCCAGTGGTGTGGAGCACTACCCAGTGTGCTGCAAGAAACACTAAGAAAGCTCCAGAGCATATTTGTGGGATGAGCTGAATGCAGGAAGGTTTCCAGTTCTCACGAAGAGGGCAGATAGCAGAGATGTGTCTCACTTGTAAGAGGTTGGGCTGCCTTTTTCCTTATCAGGAAACAGGAGATGAATGTAAGAGTTCAGCTTCCCCGAGGATGCTTGGGGGAGACAGAGACCGAGTTAAATTCGGGATATGCTCTGAGTTCTGGTACAGCTCGTTTAAGCAAAGGAGCCCCCTCCCAGCCACTCATTCCTCCTCTGGTGCCACCCCTTCTATTGTGCTTGCACAAGATCTGACACAGAGATGGAGAGGGAAACACAGCAGGGAACTGATCCAGCTAAAAACCAGCCCCACAGGGAATAGAAAAACGCCCGTTGTTTGATTCAGTTCATTGTGAAGCTACATAGCTCTGTGCTTTTTGACAATGGAGAGGGTGGCACACAGGCGAGAGGAGAGCTGAAACTCATGGCGAGAAGTAAAGGGCTGCCAGGGCTCAAGGTGGCACAGCCTCCAGGAGCAAATTCGTGTCCTCACCAATAGCTCTGAGACTCTTGATGGTTTACCACTAGAGTATTCAAATACAATCATGTAGTCAAACTAATCACTTTTGTAATAATGTATTTTTAATACATTCTCCAGGGCAATATATTTTCTGTCTTCAGCTTTGAATAAAAAATAAGCTGAATTATATGTTTTACACCAACTGAACATGTTACATAGAGAAGTCCCCTAATTAAAGCATAAATTCTTAGAATTCCATGATAATCTATTTATTGAAATCAAGATATCTCCACAGACCTGTTGGCTACAAATATCATTATACACAAATATAAATACTTGAACTAACAAGTCAGCAGAAAGCATTTACAAGTATATATATATTAAAATTTTAAACATCTCCTCTAAAACTGAAAAAGAAGCTCAACAGCTTTTGTGGTATTTTAAAGCTCATACCGGGTCTTCATGAATTCCCTCTTTTTAACTTTCAGTAAATCTTGAAAGCTAAGAACTAGGCTGGCCACTTATAAATTCTCAGGATTGCAGCCCATAGCACTCCAAAATGAGAAAAACAACAGAGCACAGAGAGGTCCTCCAAAAATAAGAATAGCAAATCACTTAAAAATATAACTGATGGTATCCAGCAAATCTTTTCCTTTCTGGCTACGCCTTGTGCAATGCTTACACCTCCAGTTTTAAATATCCTTAAGTGCTTTTCAACACTAATATTCACTAAGGAGATGCAAAGGAACAATGTTATGGCAACAGAAAAGTACAAATTAGTGGAAAAGATCTCTTAAATAAAATATTTTTGCTTCTCCTTCATGATCTTTCAAGTAACAGCAAAACTTCTGGGATAACTGTTGATTTTTTTTCAAGTCTGCCTTTGTTCTGTCCCCACATTAAATCATTTTTGTCATGGTAGGAACACTGAATCACCATCATTTCACCCTCCTGCAGATGTTGTCCCATTCTGGGGAGAACACTCAGGAGTGGCCAGCCCCAGGCTGCCTCAGCACCCAGACCTTCTTCCCTTTCACAGCAGCCAAATTCCTCCTGTCACTCCAGGCCTTTTCTCTAACAGTCCCATGCTGCTCCCCTGCACGCTTTTACATGTCATCCTAAATACTCAGCTATTTAAATACCCATCTATTTGCAAGCCTGGCTGACTTGTTTATGTTCTCCTATACTCCCCCTGAACACTTCTCAGGCTACTTCAGTCATTCTGATTTTTTCTGCCTACATGTAAGTAGACCCATTTTTAAGCTTCCCTGCAGTGCAATTCATACTCTTTGTAAGCCTTAGCATGGACTTTCATACATGTGAATTCCAGGGCACTGGGTTTTGTTCCACTGGAACTGGAAAAAACATCCATTCAAGTTCAGTTGGAAAGGTTTAACAAACTTTACTTTGAAAGGCTACTACAACACAGCTTATAATTGAAAAACAGAGGTACTCAGGGTGTTTATAGTTAGATAGTACACGTAAATACCATCATTCCCAGTTTCTCCACTTAGCTTCTGTAGTTGGCAGGTCTACTTACACTGGGAAGTCACATTTTTTTAAGAAACATTTTGGGTCAAGTTCAGACCAGTAGGCTGTAAACAAGGGCTCCTGATCCTGAGCAGGAGGCTCTATAAATCACCCTTAGCCCTTCACCGAACTGAGGGCTGATCCCTTACATGGCAGAGGTCACTCCTGCTTTTCCTTAGTGCGGGCTGAGCTGTGCCCGCAGCGGGGCCGGCCGTGCTTGGTACACAACCCGCGTTTGTCCGTGAGCTCATGGCTCAGGCCACGGCTCCCCAGCCGAGCTGAGTCATCCTCACTCTGCTCTCACAGCCGGGACATTTTATCCACTCCTCCAGCCACCCCCTCCATGCCACTTTGGGGACTTGCTTCCCACTGCACGGCTCTAATCCTGCCTGCCTTTGCCACTCCCTCCCACTCAGGATCTCTTCTCCCACTCCTCCAGTGCCACGAGACCCTCCTGCCAGCTCCCCCAGTGCTCTCCAGTTCTTCTTTACATCCCTTGACCGCTTTTCCCAATCCAGCTGATACTGTGAGGGATAACCTGCATGTCAGGGAATCACTGTGTGCAGCTTTGGAGTGCTGGAGTGTATTCATGCCTGTGCTCTTTCGGCCTCGGTGCTATCGAGGACTTGGCTGACTTCAGCATCATACAAGGAAACAAAGGACTGGGCAGTTAAAGCAAAACACTAAAAGCCCACTAAACTGCACCCAAAGCAGCTGGTGCCTCGGAGCAGCTGCTGGCTCAGGACCAAGGGTTGGTGGGGGAGCCTTCTCCATCACTGCAGAAATGCACGTCTGCCAACCAAGAGAAATCCTAACGCACATTTAAAACTGAATAAATGCAAGGCAACTCACGCTACTTTTAACAGTTAAAGTGGAGATTCTGAATTGTATTCACTCCTCTGAATAGTCTAAAATTAAAACTCAATACCCCTCATAATCCCCAAGAAACTAGGAATGAAACTTAACTCTGACAGAAACAAGCACATGAAAGCCCTGGACTAGACAGTCATCTCCTGGCTCCTATTCTCAAACCCCACCACTGGCACATGAGGTGACAGAACACTTCACTTGGAAGGGACCTGTAATGATCATCTACTCCAACTGCCTTAATTGCTGATCTAAATTACTTTCCTTGCTCCATAGCTCAGTGGGAAATAGCATTACCACCCTCTTTGATAAAGTGAGATCTGCTGGGAGTAAGTACAACTAGGTTTTATTTTTTAATTGTTTTCTCCACAATTACGTATTAGGATCCTTTCCTCCACCCCATCACAAATCACACACTTAACAAACGTTTAGACAGCTGGTGCCTAAGAGTCAAAGCCAGTTGCTCTCTCAAAGGCCAAAGTGCCTCACTGAATTGATGTCAGCTGGTACTTAGTATGATTTTTAAATTCAATTAAATTAAGAGACAAGCTGCATAGACTCTGCTAGAATCAGAAAAGAATCTTAAAAGGCATAAAATATATTTACATTTATTAAGCAAACTCTGCAGTCTTGTTATATTCTTGTTGAGAAACAGAACATTCATAAAGTATCATGAAAACAAGAAGCAAAAAAACCTTAAGGTCCCAAGCAATGGGACTATCTCCACACCCACCCTGCTTTTAACTTTCCAACACAAGCAGCAAGGCACGGTTCACAGCTAGGCTGAAAATGCAGTCTTCAGTACACATGGCCATACTGCATTCCTAGCAACCCACCACAGCCACTCCTCCCTTGTATGTTAGGATAAGCAGGTTAAATATACCCACAGAGGTACAGACAGTCAAAGAAAGGCCACCATCAGTTGAACAGTTCTGCTAGGAATTCCCGTCTGGAAAATGAGCACTGTGCTGGAACCCCTCGGTTATTCCGACAGTCATTAACTCCCTTCCCCCTGGTGCACAGCAGCCCGAGCCTGCAAGGGTTAACTGAGCCTATGTGCTCTCACCCATGGGAAGCACCTTCCAACAAAGCCAAGAAGCAGGGACCAGGAGAGCCAGCTCTGCCCCTGCAGCAGAGTCAGAGCCCAAAGGATTATTTCTTGGCTTGGTTTGGTTTTTTTTTTTTTTCATTTTGAAAATTAATTTGGGGATTGCGAACAATTATGCTCTTGCACATTAGTTGCTGGGATCTAAAGTTTTCACATGAAGAAACAACACATGGAAATATTAAATCACTCATCTTATGGAAGATCCGAGAACTGTTTAATAGCAGTCAGTGAAGGGGTAACATTGTGCTTTTAATCTACAGTTTAAAAATAATGATTTGTATATCTACGTAGTAAAACAATAAAATTAAGAACAGAAACTGGTATTAGGAACAGTGAAAATGTAATAATTAAACACATGATGCTTTTCAAAGCTTTATACTTAATGAGCCTAAACAGACACCTATGGTTAGGAGGGTCTTAAAAAAATAATAAAAAAGAGACTTATTTTCAAATTTTTTTTTCCTTTTCAAATTTTTATACTATACTTATGCTTTGCTTTGGTGTTCTCTCTGCTGCCAACTTAATGCTTTAACAGTATGTTTATGCTTATGTTCTTTTCAAATGCTTGGCATTATAGTGAGATCTCATATCTTTCCTCAAATTAAATTTTGCTCCACATACTCCACATGTATACAGATGAACATCCCTGTGCTGCTCCAGTTGCTCATTATTTGGGAATATCTGAAAGCAGACCTGGCATATAGTCTCTCCAGCTGATAAGTGAGATATCATATGCCGTACATGGTCATGTTTTCGGAAGTTTCCTTGATCACAAATGGAACAGACATACCTGGCCATGCCTTTGTGCATATCATTGTGGAGCCGCAACTGGCGCTCTCTTAAGAACTGCTTCCCACATGTCTGACAAACAAACTGTTTTTCCTTGGTATGAACGGTATAGTGTTCCCGCAAGTGGCAACGCTGATAAAATCCTTTCCCGCAAAGGTTGCAGAAATGCTTACGCCTGTGATCCCTCTCGTTCTCTTCCAGCATGGAGTTCTTGAACAGATCTTGCTCCAGGCAGTTTGACATATGTTCAACCACTAGGTTTTCAGTATCAAAACGCTGGCCGCAATTAGGGCATCGGAAAGGACAGGCAGAATGCTTGTACAACTGGTTTTTTTGAAGGCTGTTCATTTGGAAGTGACTGTCCCTGAAGTCCTCTAGCATCTCTGCAAACATCATGTCCCTTATTTCTGACTGCTCCTCGGGGTTTTCTTCCAAGTCCATTTTCTCCTCAGAATTTCTGATCCCATTCATGGTCAGATCCTGGGGTTCTCCACAAGTCTGTGCATGATCCTGTAGCTGCTTGCCTTTGACCAGTATTTGACCACACTTGCCACAAGCACATATATTTTCTATGTGTTTGGATAAATAATGAGAGGACAAATCTTCCTCAGTGATTGTTAGCCCACAAAGTTCACAGGGAGCATTCTCCACATCCTCCTGCACTGAAGGAGCCTTGCTGTTAAGGTGCCGTGGACTTTTCAAACACTTTCTTTCATCCTCATCCATGGATAAACGAGGCTTTAGAGTCTTCCGAGCATTTCTCTTCTCTCTCATCTCCTCCTCGACGTAGTATCTGTAAAGCGGCTCTTCTTGTTCATCGTCTAGGTCGTCATTGTCAGAAGACTCATTGCAGTCTTTATCTGCCACCTTGATAATATTAAAATCCTTCAGCTCATCTGTAGGATTGTCCTCTGGCTCTACCTTGATGATAATCCTCTTCCTCTCAGAGGCTCTACTTCCTTCTTCACCTGATGTCTCAGAGGCAACCGTGCTGCTTTTTCTGCTCGTGACGTTTGACACGGGAGACGATGAATCGTCCGCAGCGTGGTTCGAGTCTCCCTTGTACTTTTCTGTTTGTGTGGAGATCATTTTAGAAGTAGAGTTCTTTTCACTAAAGTCTATTTTCTCAGCAGTGTAGTACCTGGCACTTTGGTAGGAATGCCTGTTGGTGCATGTTAACACATGCTCATCCAGTAGCTTTTCACAGCTAAAACTAAACCCGCAGCTGTCGCAGGTGAAGCTCCTTCCAAACCGGCGCGAGTGTGACACGCGCTCTTTCGTGTGAGAGAATTTGGACGTGGTGCTTTTTTTGCAGACATCAAACAGTTGCTCAGGGAAGCTGTTGAGCTGCAAAGTTTCTTCCTCAGGCTCTTTGTTATGGGACGTATTTACCGTTGAACTTGGTGGCTCCATGCCCCACCTGTTTGCTTCGCTGCCATTTCTAGCAAGTGCGTCTTCATACATTCTCACACCAAATATCATTTTACCAGTCTGGGTGCTAGAAGCAGGAGATGAACATTTTAAACTAGATGAGTCTGTGTCCTGTATATCTTCTAGACACTCAGGTACGTTATATAGCTGTAAATAGTTCATGGCCACTTTAAATTGCTCAAAATTGGCAGGGGCTGTCATAATTTTTCCTAAATACATGAACTGTAAAATAAGATCAAAGCATTCAGCACTAATCTTCATGTTGCTTAGATTCAGCTGGGCTGTAGTGTTTTGATGGTTCATAAAAAACATCCTAAAATAGGCGCTGCAGGCAGCAAGGACTGCTTTATGTGCTTGGAAATAAATATCATCGATAGCGATGCAGCAGTCGCACAGAAAGCCCCACTCTCTTTGCTTGTTTAGCTGCTGAAGGACATAGTTGCTATGGCTGGTTTTTGCCATCTTGTACTTCGATTACAGCCCTGCATAAAGAAAAAGGTATCTGTTAAATCACGAGCACAAAACCCAAAGCCTACTTAAACGCAGGGAGGAACTGCCATCTCTTTTCTCTCTAGATCTTCCTATTCTGCCAGTCTGCGGCACAGCTTCCTGTCTGGAGGTCTCTGCTGGTAGCTACTTATGAATATTGATGCCAGTGAAAACATCCATAATTCCATGTGCTCACCACTAGACTTACAAGACTAGTAAACTAATAAACATAACCAAGACACACGTCAATCAGAGCTGCTAGAATATAAATTAGCAAATATGTCTCAAAGTCCTACAGCCAAGGTTTTCAGATATGAATTCTGAACACAGAACTTCAAAAACTTCACAGAGTAGACTTCTGTAAGATGGCCCCAGGACAACACCTATACAAGGTAAGCTGGCTGTCAGAAACCACTCTTCAGTCTCAACTTGCCTTTTTACCTGCCAGTCCAACGGGCACATGATGCAACGCACACTGGAAACCAGGCCAGGCTCAAACTGGTCTTTCCCTCCCCATTAAAGGAAATTAAGAGACAACAGAGCACCCACACAAGCTACTCCATACATTTTGCCCTTCGTGGCAGCTGAGGGACCATCTCAACCTTCTCTGCAAGGCTCCTGCAGACCAGGAACTGCAAACTCAAACGCCTTCTGAGAAGCAGAGGGCAGCCGGGCTGTGGTGGCACGTCCCACGGTCGAGCCCGCTGCAGATGGTGACCAGGCGAGCTGCGTGACAGCCACAGGGACTGCAGAGGCAGGAAGTGGTGCACGCCGTGCCTCCAACTGCTCTCAAAACCGCTCGTTCAGAGAGCTGAAATGTAACCAAAACACGTAGATGGGAAACCGGACAAAGAAAAACTCAGCAATGGAGAACTGAGAGAGCCAGAGGTGGAGCCACGGTGAAATGAAGCCTCGGCAAAGACAGGAGAGAAAGGTCTGCCAGTGCTGAGGGCTGCTCTATGTGAAAGGACTAACTCGTCCTCGAGAGAAAAGAAAACATCACGGTTTATGTTAACAAAAGGTATCCAGAAGAAATGCACTGTATACAGGAGGTGTGCATTTGATTAAAGACAAACTTCACCACGTGTGGCCTAGTCACGACTCACTTTGGAAAACCTCTACTGATACACATAAGCTGTTCCAACTGCACAGGCTTGAGGGGGTGAGGAACCAGAAGAGGGTATAGAGAACAGCCTAATTGAAATGAAAAACATAAAGCAGTAATGAGGATTCTTAGCATTTTGAAAGGTTATTGCAAACAATGCAAGTAACTGTAAGAGGTTTATACAAATAAAGTACAGGCTAGGAAATAACATATACTAAAGGGCATTTTATGACTCAATGAAATGCATGGATTGATTTGCAACCACTCTTTCAACTGTCCAAAATTTAAACACAATACACACACAAATGCTCCATTTTGCTTCTTATTTTCCTAACAGCTTACATCTCCTAGGGGGAAAAATGGGTAGAGAAATTAAATTCCACAATTAGTGTTGAATTCGCAAGTCATAGGCGTTGTCTGGCTTGTTAAGCAGCAAACCTAGCATTAAGTCCCCGTTCTTCATTCCACAAAGGGCTGCCAGGGCAGAAAGGCTCTCAAGCTCTCAAGAAAAGAACGTGCTCACCCCACCCAGTAATATTCCATACTGCCAACTCACACAGCAGTTCCTATGGATCACCACCAGCACAAGATCTTGTCTGGCATCAGGAATCTTGAGATTTGGGTTGAACTGCACTGATGATGATCATCTGAATGACAGCTGCTCCTCTCCTCTCAACCCTCAACTCAACCCTCCACACCCAGAACTCCAGGCTAGCACCCTGCCATAATAATTCTCAGACTGGTTTGGCCCAGTGATGTCCACTGCAGAAATGCAACTCGTTGCTTGGAATTCATTTCTCTTTTTTACTAACTTGCAAGGCAGTGGCTTTGAAAGGAGGAGAACCTCTGAAAGAACTTCACACCTTTTCTACAGAAACTGGTTATTGTCTGTTTCACTGGGTGATTTCAGATGTTTCTGTGAAGAGCAGCAAAGCTCTTGACATCAAGTAATAAAGTGCACTTCATATTCTTCCAAGTGGAAACATGTTTTGGATTCGAGGCAATTCATTAGATGCTTAAATGTAACTCAATCTATTGTATTAAGAATAGCAGCTGCATAATGATAAAGAATTAACTCCAACTTCCACATTCTAAGAGTGAAAACCAACGAGAAAATGAAATTATGCTGTTTCAGGCACCACTGGCCTCTTGGTGTGAGCTGCCAACTGAGAAAAGGCTCAGGACAGCTCATGTGAACTTCCCCATCCTCATAAAGTGGCAAGTTCTACATGTTTTATTTAACTGTGGCTTTTTTACACTTAGATACACTTATACACTTATACACTTTAGATATACTCCATTGTGTACTCCAATAGAAAAGCAGCAATACAAGCAGCAAGCCACTAAAACAGGTGGTCACAAACTATCTGCAGGCACCTGCAGATGGGGTCGTTTTCAGATGGTGGGAACAATGAGTAACAGCACACTCATCTTTTTCAAGTCTTCTTCTTTGAAAATGGTAAAAGATATTTCTCCTTTTGACACATAAATTCCTGCAAAGCTTTCAGCACATGGATCGTGACATGCAACGATGATCCACTGGCAACACTCAGGGAAAAAAGGTTGGAGCATGAGGCTGCTTGAGCAGGATGGCAAGGTTTTGGATTTGACATATACTTGGTCTCTATCACAGTAGTGCTACATGTAAGTATTAAAACACGGTATATGAGGCTATTTATGTTAATGCAAGTCCTGGCATCCTCCCTCTGGATGCTGTATTAACCTGCTGGATGTCACTTCCCACCACGAGAGCCTGTGTCGGGCTATTTAAAACTTCGACACATTTCAACCAGCAATGGCAAAACTTTCCTTCTGAAACTTTGGACTTACTTATCTTCCCTCCTCCACAGAAAAGCTCATCCAAAACGGTTCCAAAAATGAGGCTAAGAAAAATCTTCCATGTATGCAGATTATTATTTTTTCATTTAGAAATTAGAAGTTTCTCTTCCAAAATCTTTGAGGAGACACATTATGTGGGAGAAAGTGTTATGGCTTAGATACGTTGTCACAATATAAAAATCTGCCCAAATTTGGCCAAGCTATATGCTTGAGTGGGAGAAGATACAAATTATCAGTTTATTCACACTTAAGATTTTTATTAGTTGTTAAAACTTCAGATTACAGCCTCACTGAGAACATTTCATCCTCTTGCAGCTGCTTAGAACACAGCCATCCACAATGAAATCCTCTTTTGCACAGAGCTCTGCCATGGTTTTAAACTACAAAAGGGTTGGTTCAGATAAAGGGAAGAAATTTTTTTTATGAGGGTGTTGAGACACCGGCACAGGTTGCCCAGAGAGGTAGTGGATGCCCCATCCCTGGAAACACTCAAGGTCAGGCTGGATTGGGCTCTGATTTTGTTGATATCCCTTCTCATTGCAGGGGGTTTGGACTAGATGGCATTTAAAGATCCCTTCCAACCCAAACCATTCCATGTGCCACCTCCACAATGTCACAGTTGACAGCAGAACCTCCTGGAGACTGCTCCATAGCATGGCTCACCACGGGGTCTCAGCTTCCCTGGTGGTAGCTGATGGAGAAGATGCCCAGTTCTAGCAGAGGGAGAGCCAGAGCCAGGAGGGGATACAGGGAAAACACAGGGAGATGGGGAAATGTCAGAAGGATGTGATGGAAACCCTCTGGAAATCTGGAGAGAAGAAGAGGGCAGGCTGAGAGTGCAGTGCTGAGCCAAGAAAAGGGCACTGGGAATTAGGAAGCAGCAGTGGGAATTAAAAATGGGTGCAATGAGAGTCTAAACAGTGGAGGGAAGAAGCCACTTGGGCAAGGGGCTGGGAAGAGCCAGGCTGCAGGGCCTAGGGCAGAAGGGGCAAAAAACACAGACAAGCTCTTTCTGGGGAATGGGTGGAAAATAATTACAGCATTAACACCTTCAGAGCAGGAACTGCCCCCCAAATTCCCAATCCTGCCATCCCTTTGCCATCAACAAGCATGACAGGCTTGCTGACAAACTCCTTCCCAACAAGAGCAAGCTCTCAGAAAATGGTAATTTATCATTATTTGTTAATTGCTAGAATGGCAGCAATCTGCATTTATCACTCATGTGGGTGGATCAAGTACTGCAAACTATTTTTGAAGTTTGCTTTAGAAAAAAAAAACCAGGACATTTTACAGAAAATTCAAGGTATACACATATATTATGTATATATCACAGTGTATTCTTCCACCCCTCTTACTAAATTTTCCCTTACTCAGCACATCTTCTGAATCTGTTCAGGCACAGTCTGAACAGTAAAAGACAAGATCCCTGCTCATTTGGTCAGGCATTTGGTGGATGTGAAGTGAATGAAAGGTGAGGGACAAAAAGGAAGATCTCACAGCACTGAACACTGCCTGGAGAACATCATCTCATTGCCGTCAGTGCCAGGACAAGTAATTTCAACCTTTCTGTTTTCGTTCTTTCAATAAGCCTGGCCTGCATTTTCTGGATGCCCACTTTATTCACAGAGGTAAACACCACTGGGGAGCAACTGAGGCCAGTGAGAGCTATTCTCTGTATGTATTAAATACTGAGTATCTTGGAAAATTAAAGCTCCATGCAGGTCAGTTTGTCAATCCAAAGCTTTTAATTATTTCTGATCCTCTTTTTCAAAGAGAGGAGAATCACCAGCCACTTGCCCAGTGGACTAGCACACTTTGTGAAACATCCAAATCCTGGAGGCACCAACCTCACAAGTCCACGAGGAACCCAAGTAACTCCATCTTCAGCAGTGATTGATTTGTGCAGAAAATGCTGCACAGGCCACGTTGTAAGCAATACTGAATGATGCAGAGGTGTTCTGAAAAACTAAAAAATAGATGCGAGAAAAGCATCTGGTATGAAAAAGAAAACTGAAGGTATCTGACTTGGGTATTTTCACTATGCTTTTCAAACTCCAAGTCTCCATATGCATTTTGTTTCCCTAGTAAATACTTTTACACAGCCAAGCTTTGATCCAAGCTACTTGTCGGCCACAAGACTTTTCTTTTGAAGCACCACTTAGGTATTATTCAGATGTGACCATGAACAAGGTTAAGTTGCACTACTACACTAACCAATTATGTTGTTTGTAAGTCTGCTAACAAGAAAAAAGAGATATTTACTACAGCTCCATGCTGTCATTTCCTCACACTCAAAGTTTTCTGAAATGTTTTAAAACAAAAGAAGTAAAAAAAGTCCTCAAGCAAAGAAGTAGTGAAGTTCTTTTGCTAACTTCTCTGTCTTTAAAACAGACATACCACAAGGTTCAGAATTCAGGAGCCTTTCGGCTCCTAAAATTAGTAGGTGGTTTTCAAAACCCAGCATTTCCACTGCTGAGCAGGCAAAAACATAGCACTTACATGCTTAGTTACTGGCTGCCTTTCTTTGGAAACCAAGAACAGGCTGGATAAAAGTATAATAAATGAGTGGGGAATTTGGTGCTAATAGAAAATGAGATGGGAAAACCTCGAGCAAACAACGCCCAGTTATCCAAAAAACAAGCACACGAGGATCAGAAAGCAAATCCCCATCACCATCTGTCTCCATACCCCACCCTGGTGTGGGTTCCCAAGAACTCTTCCCCCTAATTTTGCCATTGTGGGTCAGATCTACCAAAAAGCCTGGATTCCTAAATGACAGCATTGGCAGGCTGCAGAAAATCCTACAGAACATGTATAAATGCACACAATGCCCAAGAATTTAATAGGTTTGGCTACTGCATTGACCACAGAGCTGTCGAAAGGCTACAACTTCTACCTAGATACACTCAATAAGAAGCCACAGAGATTGCTCTGGGTGTCTCAGTTTACACAAACACTGAAAAAAACAGCAAAGAACTTGGGGCCAGGTGATAATTGTCCACCTCAACAGTGAGTATGGATCAGTTTGCACTGAAAGCATAGCCTTGATCATAAATTAAGACAGCTATGGGAATTCCATGTACTGGCAGGGAAAATGTAATTAAGCTCCATTATTCAGGCTATGAAGGACTAAAGGTATAATTTATCCTCCTCTCCCAGCCCTTCCAATCACCTGCCTTTCAGGCAGGACAGTTGGGAAGATGATTCCAATGAGGCAGATACTCATCTTCAGACACATCCCAATGGCTGAACCAACTCATTTTAA